AAGAAGTACATGCGACTATGTGCACACAAGCACAACGAAATGTCCTTAACATTAAGACATCGCCTTTGTGTTCGTGTGAATGTGACTGTGTTTTTGGATATGCACATACCATTTGCACTCACATGGTGCGATGTTTTCCAATATCAAGTATCGTTGTGCATGTGTGCAAATATGAGCGAAGACATCATTTGATATATGTTCATATTGCCCGTTTCCTTTGTGTTCATACTGCCTTTGAAATGGGTTAAATTAGTATCTTGCATACTGGGAGAACCAGAAGATCCCAAGAACTAGAAATGCAAGGGAAATGAACCCATAGAAGTTCAAAAGCGGTACCATTCTACCCGTCACGTAACCGCTGGGATTTTTGAATATAGTTTTCCCCTCTACAACGATATCACCAAGTCTATGTTCACAGTGATTGAAGTACAAATTATACATCCCGGTTCTTGTAATCTGCACACACCTCGGTTTCATAGAGGAAATTTCCTCATTGACATCAAATGATACACCAAACACTTCAGGCCAACCAGGATTTATTGCTGATAGGCGATGAATATCTTCCCCTTCCTTACATGCACCCAATTTCGCTAGATTTGAGGTGCAACAGATAGATATTTGGCCTCCATAGGCAGAGCCACCAATAGTCTCTCGGTCATCCACCTCAAAAAGAATGGCATAGATCAACCCGGTGTTGAAGTTCGAAGCTTCCTGAGGTCTTCGGAATATGATCTTTTCAAAACTAAATCCAAATAAAAATAGTGTCAGATATGTAATTTTTATCACATATGCACCTAGAATCCATCTAAAGATGAAAGAACCACATAAAGTAAAATAAAAAATAAGTTGACCACGGAACTGATTAGGTCCAAACGAACAGTTCCATTTTGCCCCCCTTTGCTCAGTAAAATCTTAAATGAATAATGTAGACCATTCAACCGTCATCTATTACATTTCCCCATTGTCAAGCAACCCAGATATTCTGCATCTATAGTGTCAACTGTAAGTTCCATCTGAACTATAAACCAAGCTTCTTAAGAGTCAACTTAAGTAAAAGGTTGGTAATGACATTCCAGTTATAGTTGTTGGCTAACATGTCATATGCATCACTTTCCTGACTAATAACTAAAAAATCACAAGAAAAATAAAGGACTAAAATGTTAGGTAAACATAAACCCCACCATTAAGTAGCACAGGAAACCAGTAACCTATGGATCTAAATTGTGAAATATACGATTTCGATTAGGTTTGATTTTAGCCTACCTTAAATGAATTACAAGCAAACAACATATTGGAGAAAGATCATATTCATTGGTGCGATGTTTTTAATATCAGGTATCGTTGTGCAGGTGTGACGATATGAACATAGAATGCATTAGCTGTATGTTCATATTGTTGATTCATATGTCGGCATTATGTTTTTGGATGTGTTCATGTGAACCCACAGGCGCTGATCACATTAAAACATGTGAAAGCATGTCCATTTATTGACCAACGCAAGATGTTCACGATGAAACAGCGATCCGAACATACACCAAAAGAAGTGCATGTCATGTGCACACAAGCACAACGAAATGTCCTTAACATTAAGACATCGCCTTTGTGTTCGTGTGAATGTGACTGTGTTTTTGGATATGCACATACCATNATGTGCACACAAGCACAACGAAATGTCCTTAACATTAAGACATCGCCTTTGTGTTCGTGTGAATGTGACTGTGTTTTTGGATATGCACATACCATTTGYACTCACATGGTGCGATGTTTTCCAATATCAAGTATCGTTGTGCATGTGTGCAAATATGAGCGAATACATTATTTGATATATGTTCATATTGTCCGTTCCCTTTGTGTTCATACTGCCTTTGAAATTGGTTAAATTAGTATATCATATAACTTGTCCACATTCACATTTATATCATATAAACACTTGTATGGTTAGTTTTTTAATTGCAATTTTTTTAGTGCACATGTCCGTTAAAGTATATCATTCATATGTTCACAAATATAAAAAATCTATGATTTTGTTCACTGTTTTATCAAAAAAAAACTCTCATTTACTTGTTCACCCATTGTGTGTGTACATGCCATCTTTATTTTGTCAGGAGTAAATATGTAATATTCATGTAACAATATCAAACGTATTTTTGATGTTGTTATAAGATCTGATTCACAGTATATCGATACACGTCCATTACACAATCACAACTTGGTCGGTTAAGTGACAAAAACACGATAGTTCACATCATATACGATTGTTCTGTGTTTATTTTTATGTTTTTTGCTATTAATAATTTTTCAATCTTTTTAGTTAGTCTGAATATGCATGTAACAACATATATCAATCACCAATTGGTCATTTTTTGTTGGATTTTGTCATAGCATATAAATAGTTCACATTTAGTGAACAAAATCATGAACGACCATACAGAATACTTGTCATTTAATACATATACTTCATATGTCTTTCGCAATTATGTTTGACGTCGGTTTATATATGTGTGATTAAACTTGTCATTCATATCGCACATATCRTTCCGTATTACAATTATGTGTAATACCTTGTGGGATTGGTATGGYTGAAATTTGTCCGTAATGGTTAATGTTGTTATCTGACAAACAATTGATGGTCTTGACATAAATTGCCAACATGCTAGACACTGTAGGTATCGTTCCATGTTTCGGGCACACATATGATTTATTAYCCATAGTTATTATTTTCAAACTGATGAAAAATGAACCATACAGGTGCATCATCATCAATGGTGTTGATTCTAACCAAATCCAAGGTGATGGGTACCACGAAACAAGTCGGTGAGTTTGGTGCATATTGATTCTGTAATTTAAAAAAATATGACGAAAGCCTTGGAATCCTATTAACACAGTAGACTGATTTTTTTAAACAATTATTCTCTTTTGCGTACAGGTCGGCTTGTTAAGAATGTTAGCATACCAAGAATAGACGAGTCAATAAAAGACACTGTAGACCCCATCAAGTATAACCCCGTGGAGACAGTTACCGGTGAAGTAGGTGCAGGTATGACGATGTACTCATTGTTCAATAAATTTTTGCAACATTTAACATTTAGCACACATATCCATGCCTGTATCATGGTCCATTATCTGATTTATTTATTTTTGTTTTGTAAATTGTCCTTGAATGCAGACAGTGAGCGTGATAATGATTTTAAAAATGTCGATCAGACTCGAGATACAGCTGTTGTGAGAGTTACTAGAAAGGGAAAAAGCTTGGCACTTGGAGATGAAAACGAAGTAATTGCTGCGACTGACGCAAAGGACACGACGTTATGCATCAGAACTCGAACTTCTCCGAAAACATTGTACGACACAGTTAAGACACTAACCGTCGCCCAACGGGCAGCCATCAGGGAGATGGGTTTCCAGTCACTACTGGATATGACATTAGATAGGATTCTGGCAAAGATGGGATTTTATGTAGTGGATAATCTCGATACAGATGTGATGAGCATCAAGATGAGAAATGGTGTAATCCCCATCACAGTCAATTCTATTCATGAGGTTCTAGGGCTGCCAATGCAGTTGATCTGAACTCAGCTGATCCATCACATTGCATCAATGACATAGTTACGGCGTGGCGAAAACAATTCACAAAAGACAGGATACGGCCGAAAGATGTTATGAATGTYGTACACAAATCTGCTGATGCGGGTGACTTGTTCAAGYTKGGTTTCTTAGTTATAGTAATCRACACCCTTGCGGAATGCAGYAGGGTAGGAGTTTGCAACCTGCGGTTTCTGTCCCGTATTCATAGCTTGGAGATGATTCCACAGATCAATTGGTGTAAGTACGTTTTTTACTGCATCACAACAAGTAAGAAGTGTTGGAATAGAGAAAGCCTCATGTCCTTTTATGCAGGACCATTGACGTTTTTTACGGTAAGTACCATTTTGTTAATAGATATTTTAATTAAAAGAGGAATACGAATAACACGAAAAAACTAATAATTTATCCATCTCTTGTAGTTGTTGTATGTACATTCTACAAAATGCGAACAGATCCAAGTCGCAAACGATGCACCTCCCATTAGGGCTTGGACGATGGACCTGCTTCGTAAACGGCAAGAGTTGGAGATTAGGAGTGGCAGACTTGGATATGCTGAGATGAAACGTAAGCCCAACGTCGGGCATGGTGCATGCGACACAAATGTTATTGGTGGTACGGCAGAAAAAATTGTGGCTGAATCAAGTCGAAGACATCAAGCAAAGGATGCGCGAAGGAATAAGGAGGTAACTTATAAAATGTTACACTTAATGAAATATTGTTGCATACAAATGAAATAATAACCTATATATATGTCATTCTGTATCCGCGATTCTACCCTACACAACTAGTACCACATTCCAGCTTATGTTGGGTTCGCGTWTTTGGACTGTCTGACTGATATGTTATGTAATCCATGATTCACCTTTTTTATGTCAAAATCAAGATAATCCATGTATTGAAAATATAAAAACTAGGTTCTAATGTTGATGTGTATGAGAATGAAATTTGTGGATAAGGATRTATTTGCAATATACAGTTATGTAATTACCCTACCACATATCAAAATCTGCATAGATATACCTTTGAATAATTGAATTTTTTAAGCCAATGCATATATTTATATTCTTATATAACTCAATATATGAGTTCTTTTTTTTTTCAAATATTAGAGTATTATTATAATAAAATTAATTTTATACGATGTCAATAACTTATGGATGTCTGTCAAAGACCTTCCAGCCTAGTGGTAACGGCTTGGGCATGGCATAGTCATGAACCCGAGTTCGAGCCCTGGGAGGGGAGTGTTGGCGACATTTAAGTGGGGCCATGCTTTGCCTCCAAAATTGTCAGGGATTAGTCGGGCTTTGGCCCGGACACCCTTCCAAAAAAAAAACTTATGGATGTCTTGATAAGTCTCTTTATAACACTTCAATTTAGACCCCAAACAATATGGTGTTTTATATAAAAGTGTTATAATAAGTTTATAAGACCTTTTTTGATGTCTTAACCAATTTATATATGTATGATATTACTTGATTGGGTGAATGTAAAAGGATAAGTCACTGTCATTTCTTTTTAGGGAGTTAGTGGTCAAACAAATTATCTATGTTAACTGGATGCAAGTGTCCCACTTAGATACGCTACTTAATTTATCGATTGAGCTCAAAAACAACTAATTAAAGACCCAAATCCAATTACTACAAATAACACTACTTTAGAAGATTGAATCTTGGAGTTAATTAGCATACTAAACTAATAAAAATATAAACTTTATGACTGGGTATCAACTAAGTAGATAATATGAATACGAAATCAAYATTCAGAGCTAACGATATTTGTTCCATATCGTTCTTAATGAAATGCTTCTACTCTTCGACTGTGTTCATGTGAACCACCAATGTGTCGATATGCCCATGTTTTATCATATGATGCGATGTTTTTAGAATATGATGTTTTGAGTTAAAATGTGAATTTTGTGTTTTTTCATATGTTGTGTGTGAAGGTACCAACCTATACTGTATATGTTGATGAATGTTCACACTGATGATTCCATGTGAACATATTCGCACGTCACTATATGTTAAGACATACAAAATATGAGCACAAAAAATGCCTTTATTCACCTAAAAAAAGCAGCAGTGTGAACATGAAGCAAACGTCATGTCAAGGTGCTCTAACCTATGCACACATGCACAGCGAAAGGTCACAAACACATAAACATAGGCGCTGTGTTTATGTGAATAGCGACTGAAAAAACGTAAGAATATGTTTTACATTATGATGCGCTGTTTTATAAAATGAGTAATGTGTTTTTTTTAATACGTTGTGTATATGTACACACGATGTTCACATAAATTACCTGTTACACATGTACAACGACATTACATGGACATGAACCTACCAAACGACATAGGGCTTCTGATATGTGAACATTATGTTGCGTAGATAGTAAAGATCGTATGTATTGTTTTTCTCATCGGTTTTTTTCCCTAAGGAATGTATGAGGATCATGGGTGAAAAGATTGCGGAGTTGTGCTCTCGAAGAGTACAGGCAGACTTACTGCTGGAATCGTTTGTTGAACGATTCCCGAGTGATACAGATTTTGACAGCTTTAAAAGGCAATTGGCAGCGGTGTTTAAAGGGAGCAAGTGGGATACAAGAACAACTGTGGGCAATGAGATGGAACAAACGATGGAGGATCAAATAATGACACGTAGTACGGATCATGCAGCCCCAACGATGTGCTAAGTCCCTAACCGGGCAGTTGTTGAGGTAACTCCTATGAAGCTAGCCACAATACCTAATCTAGACTTGTTGTCGCCGCTGTCTCAATTGTGGACCATTCCAACGGTTATTGCAGAGGTGGATAGGGCATCCAACGAGAAATCGATGCATCTGTCAAATGAAAACAGGAGATATACGCGGTATGTTCAAAAGGAAACAGTTGGGATTCAGACAATACAGCCACAGGTGCAGCAAGTTGGTAGCGTACAGAGTAGGAATAGTGATCAGATTGAGAATCAGACAAGTAACATATGTAAACGAGCGAGAAGCATCGAGAAAGCAATTGCTTTGGGTGGAGGAATCGAGCCACCGACATTTGATTTGGGGATAAGTCCATCAGGGAAACAGGTAGTTGATGTTGTGGATACGTTGAATACACTAGCAATGCAGGAGTGTCCGAGGCTGACCTTGTCGAAGAGGGATCCGAAGTTGAGCTTCAAGCTACGGTCACCTTATATCACACGTGATGTTTCCTTCGACGTAACAAATGACGAGCGTAGGCTACAAGATTGGATCTTGAGGGGTATCGGAGGGTTACTGTAAGTTGTACCTTACATTTTCATAGTTCATGCATTTTACTTATATGTCTAAATATATGAGTGTGTATGTTCTGATTTCATTAATGTTTACCTATTAATACCTAGAGAACCTGTTTTCGTATCCTCGTATGGAAGAAGACTAACACGGCAGGCGTTGCAATCTCTTGCATCCCAATCCATGGTTTGTCGAGATGTGTTAGACGGGTGGTCAGTAGTACTAAACCGAGATGAACGATTGCGGAGCAATGACTCTCCGCGACGCTATTTCTATCACACTAACGTTTCGGTAAAATCAATAAAAAAGCAACTATTTCCGCTACGAATAAAGAACATGCATTATCTACAAAACAATTAATGGATTTGTTTTGTATCCAGATGGATGGTATGATGAGGAACCTTTCTTTGGATGTGCACGAAAAATACGAGATTTTCAAAAAAAAACCTAGCAAGTTTCGCAAACAATGATAAGGAGATCATTAGTATGCGCAGCGTTGATATGGTACGTATATAACATGCGTTTCTAATATTAGCGTACAATAATTAAAAATATATTGTAGTGGTAGCCTGTATCTTACGTATTTATAATTACAGGTATTCTTCCCGATCGTAGAGGAAGTATTATATTACATTGTTGTCTTTGATTTGAAACGGCCCTCAATCGCTATCATTGACTCCAAGGATCGGGATGGCAACCTTGAAGATATATATGGAGCAAGTACGGTCGTCTTGGTAAGTATACATTGTTAGTACTAATATTATACATGCTTCATGATTCCTTAATTATTTTGTCGTCTTGATAATTTATTCAGCAAGATATGATGATACTTCATCTTCTGAGAGAGGGTCACGATGCCGGAAAA